TTAAAATATCTTCTGAACTCCAAAAGGCTTGTACTCCGCTCTTTTTCTAGGTTACATTTTAAATGCCTGCTGATGCAATTGTTAAAAACAGGCTTGATTCCAAATGACATTATTTAAGCTACTTACCTTGAGACTTGTATCTTATTAGTCTTGATAAAATGAATTAGCTGTGAAACAAATCTCAAAATGGACATATTATAGTATATTAATCAAGAATATAAACTGCAGTGATGAGGAAAAGAGTGCTTGTGCAAGTGGCAGAATATTTATTTACTATCATATCAAATCCTTCTGCCCTTGGAAAAATTCATGAGCAGCTATACATATATAGTAAGGAGGGAGACAAAAACAACTGGTGAGCATTTCTTTGAAATTCTTCTATTTTCTAAATTAACTGAAAATTGCTAACACTGTAGTGTTAGTTACCATTGCCATCTACAGAGTAGATATATGCTGTTTGATACTCAAAACTTATATAAGGAGAGTTTGCATCTTGGTGTAAACTTGAAAGCTGTCATTTATTTTTAGTTTCTTGTGTAGTAGGTGTAAATATCTTGATGACATTTATTTAAGAATAAAAATCAGATGCTGTCAGTAGTAGCTTTTTGATTCTGCTATGGCTTGAATGATACAACATAATTTACAGGTTTTTGCTATTTACTGTTGCTGTGCCTCGTGTTTCTGTGATGTTGCTTACAAATATCTAAGAAACTCTCTTAAAAGTTTATATTGGACAGTACAAGAACTTAAGAGTTTAAAACTGGCTTCCTTACAAAGGGTATAAATATATTTCTAGAGTTTCCCTAGAAAGGTTACATAAAAAACTTAATACTCTTTGCCATGTATTTGTAGTTGGGCTGCTTTTACACACCCAAGCACCAGTGGGCAGACACTGATATTCCACACACAAGAGATTCACTTTGCCTGTGGGGCTGAAATGGCTCTCCAAGTAACAAACTCTTTAGCAAAGTCACCTGAATACCCCTTCCAGCTCTTCATTTCTCTCAACCCACTGTTCCAGTCCTCTTGCAGATATTTTCCCTCTTAGCTGCATCATTAACTGCCTTCCTCCTCCCATCATCACAGTCCTTGGGGAAAGGTTGGGGCGAGGGTCTTTTTAAATTTAAAAATTCAAGTCAAAACTTCTCTCTTTTCTGTCAGCTAACTAAAGACTCATTCTACACTGAGTGGTAGCCAACTTGCAGGGAAATTAGTGTGTGCCTTATGTTCTTGCTCAGAGCAGAGGAATATTTGTAACAGGTAGTTAGCACCCTCCAGTAGCTGCCAGCCACGATTATAAAAACTACCATAACACGTGATTATTAAACCCAAAATTTTATTATTCACAAGAAAAAAATCCCATACAAAAAGTCTGTCTTTGCAAAATAGCGTGTCAGGAACAGAGAAAGGCATGAATTTGTTGTGCTGCTGTTTGTCCAACTACTTGCTCCAGCTCGCTGATGGACGCGTTACAAAGCCGGTGGATGCTCCCAAAGTGCTGCAGTAGAAGCAGAGCTTTTGTTTTCCCGACTCCCGGGATGTGCTGCGCGGTCTGGAACAGCGCTGGCTCTGCCAGCTGAGGTCGCTGCTTGCGCAGGAAGGGGTTGGTGCCCTGATCCCGGCTCTGCTCCCGCACCTGCAGCCAAACACAGCCGTGAGCCACCCGAGCAGGAGCTCTGCTCTCAGCCTTTAAAGCTGGTTCTTTCATGGCAAAGCAGGTCAGCGCAATCACCGGGAAGTTTTAGAAACGAGCTCCCCGCTTCTGTGCGTGCCCTGATTTCGATGCAGTTCCACAAAGTCTCACTAGGGAACGGTTTCTTAATGAAAACAATTATTTTTGTCATCTTTTTGATGCAGAGAAAGGGTAAACGATATAAGAACAATTTCCTTAGCCTTAGAGAAAGCAAATCTCAAGTTGATTTTGACAGAGAACTTAAGTGAGGTTGCCCAATGCTATCTAGTGGTACCTGGGTGCAAGATCACATGAAAAAAAATCCAGGATCATATTGTTCAACCTTTTTTCCTTGGTTTTTGTTCCCAAAGGAGCCCTCTTCCCCCTGAGCTATACTCTCGTATCACTGTTGCAGGAGATTTATTCCTTACATTCAAACAATGTTGTGCTCCTTTCAGATCCCAGCTATCCCAGATGGAGAGCTTTCCCACATGTCCCACATTTTAAAAATATTTGCCCACTAACACAGACACTCACCAGCTGAACAATGAGCTGAGCAGCTTCTCCTTGATTTGCCACAGGAAGCAACACCATTCCAAGCTCGAGTACAACAAGTTTTTGTACTGTTGAGAAGTACTGATCACTTATTTGGGTTTTCTCTACAATTACAAGTCCCCTCAGGTTGCTGGCCTGTATTGAAAGGGAAAAAAGAAGAAAAGACCCTGTTAATGACAAGCTGATGCAACATAACAGAGTGAAATTCTTTCAAGTATGAGCTGCCTGACGGCAAATCAGAGGAAGAACAGAAGTTGCAGCAGCATTACTGAGGTTTAAGGAAGCACCATCACACAGCTTCAGAATTATTCAGTTTTCAGGTGGAAACTATCTTAAAAGTTTAGCTAGAATGTAAAAATAACACAAGGAGAATGTTTTCAGAAGCGCAGAATAAACAAATATCAATTGAAACCTTTTTATTTAGCACTTACATTTCTAAACCTCACCAATCTTCGTTTGAATTCATCCCCTGCAACCAAATCTGCTTCAGAAATATATAAAATGCAAGTTCTATTGGAAAGATGAAAGTCCACCAGTCCCAAGCCATCTTCAAAGATGAGTCTGACTTTCCCTTAAGGTGAGATTGTTGTAAGAAAAAATACAGTGGTTAAAAACAAACAATTACTGATATATATATATATAAAACAATAACTTAAAAAATTATATACTATAGTTATATATACACACTATAAATACAAATATATACTAATATATAACATATAAATATATATAAAGTATATATAATATGAAATATATACTCTATTTTTATATAGTATATTTACAGAATATATACTATACAACTACTATAACAATCAGTGCACAGCACAACCTTCCTGATGTGTCAATAATCCTAGTGACCTCACAATGAACTTTATATTCTGTAAAAGCCTTTCTTCTCCTTAAGCAAAACTGAGACAAACAATCCAAAGCACTGTGTGATGTCCTTTGGTAATCCCAATTAACAGCACTCCAGATCTGTAAGTGCTGTAGCTGCTCAGTAAACTCTGAGCTTGAACAAAAATATCACACACTTTTCTGGGAGGATCATCCTGGTTTAGTTTGCTGTGCCAAGAGATGACAGCACAGGTTCAGGATCCATGTCCAGTGGAGATGCACAACCACAAAGCCCCACAACAGCAGATTCTGCTGCTTCTCTTCAGTGCTCTGCACCCATGAGCACATGACAGAGCTGATCACACAGATATATCACAGGATTCTTCAGCCTGGTAAAAAAAACGTACCACAAATCTGGGACCAGTCAGGCACAGATTAATGCATATTCCAGCCATTCTTAACACTACTGGCAATGCTTTGCCAGAACTGTTTGTCCTCTTCCAATTTGTTTGTGCTTACCTTGTAGCCTTTGGGCTACCTCTGACCCTCTCCACTTCTCATTTCCAATTACATGACCATAAGGGACAACCACAGATCCTGCTGTCACAGGGAAGTTTGCTTTTGTTGTCATCAGGCCTCCTTTCAAATCTTTACTTCAGTAGCAGTTACACCCTAGAAGGAAACGTGGAAGGGACAGTAACATATTTTACAAACCTGTTGCAAACTTATACATTTTAATCATAAACTCAAGATGCAATATTCTGGAAGAGACACTTATCTCCTTCCCCAAGACTCCTTACAGTTATGGTTAGCATATCAAAACCAGTCAGCAGCTCTGTTCACCTGAACACAGGCTGCTGGCTTGCAAATTCCACTTCCAGCTTAACCACTAAGTCTGAAAAATGTCTGAATTAAAACACAGGGATGGTGGAAAACCCCACACTGCCTCTCCCACGCCTTCATCCACCCTCCTGGGAGAAAGTCTGCTGGAATTGCAAAGCTGACTCCAGAGGCACCTCCAGCCACAGCTGGTGGGAGTCTCCAGACACATTATTAGAAGGGAATTGCTGGAAGAGATTATTGTCAGGTTTGCCAGCCTTATATGGTGTTCTGACTTCAGGGGCAACTGGGAGTCTGGGAGGCCAAGGAATGATTTGAGGAGACACCACAGACAAGACAGTACTGCTGCAAACACAGAATCACAGAACTAACCAGGCTGGAAAAGACCTCTGAGATCATCGAGTCCAACCTGTGACCCAACCCCCCCTTGTCACCCAGCCCATGGCACTGATGCCACATCCAGTCTGTCCTTAAACACCTCCAGGGACGGGGACTCCATCCCCTCCCCGGGCAGCTCCTTCCAATGCCTCCTCACTCTCTCTGTAAAGAACTTCTTCCTGGTGGCCAACCTAAACCTCTCCTGGCACAGCTTAAGGCTGTGACCTCTTGTCCTACTGCCGGTTCCTGGGAGCAGACCCCGATTCCCCCCCGGCTCCCCCCTCCTGTCAGGAGTTGTGGAGTGAGGAGGTCTCCCCTGAGCCTCCTCCTCTCCAGGATGAACCACCCCAGCTCCCTCAGTTTCTCCTCACAGCACTTGTGCTCCAGACCCTTCACCAACCTCGCTGCTCTTCTCTGGACCCTGTTCCGGCCCCTCAGCATCCTTCCCAAACTGAGGGGCCCAGAACTGGACACAACACTCGAGGCGCGGCCTCCCCAGCGCCGAGCACGGGGCAGAATCACTTCCCCGGTCACAGATCCGCGCACAGACACCGAGGAGGAGTCAGTCCCTCTCCCCGGCCCGGCGCTCACCTGCCGGGCCCGGCCTGACCCTCAGGAGCCCGACCCGCTCCTGCCCCGACGCCCCGCGGCGGGGCCGCTCGCCCTTGGCAACCGGCTGAGTAAGGCGCGCTCCGATTGGAGGAGCGCGGGCCCGCAGCGAATCCGCCGCGCCGTTGTTGCCGGGCGGGTTGCGGGGGTGAAGCGTCTGGGGCGGTGCCCGGGAGGCAGCGGGGTCGTTTTGTCCCGTCCCGTCCCGTCCCGATGTCGTTCCTGTTCAGGAGAGGCCGCCCCGGCCCCTTCGTGAGTATCGCTCGGGGTATCCCCGTGAGCGGGGGCAGCAGCGCAGCGCTGGGCTGTGCGCGGGCGGGACGAGGGGAGGCCCCCCGGGGAAGGCGGCTGGTGCCGGGGATCGCTGAGCGGTTTGACCGAGGTGAAAATCGGGGGGGGAATAAACGCCAGGCAAAACCAGGAAGGTGTCCGGAGGCTGGTGTGCTCCTTTCCCTCAGTACCAGTCCTGCCTGGCTTCTCCAGAGGTCTGGACGCCGGGCTGGACCCCGGGCTGGCTCCCCGCTGGAAGTGCCGCTCCCTCTCTGCCAAGGCGATCCTCGAAGCGCACATTCACTGCTCTAAAGTGAACTGATCCAAGTTACTGTATTAACTTACTGTTAAAAGAACCCAGCAGACTTTCCTGTAGTTGGTGACGTTAACACATAAGTGGTTCCAGTTAGAGTAGTGTTACAGTATTTACTTATAGTTGGCAGACTGCACAGCTGTGTGAGTGTAGCAAACGCCAGGATTTCCTTCTCTTAGAGGAAAACACTATTCTCATTGGAACCACTTGTATGTTACCGTTACCAACTAGAGGAAAGCACGTTGGCGGTTTCTTAACAGTGAATTAATGTAATGAAATTAACGTCGGGAGATTAACGTAATGAGAGCTCAGGGCAGCCGAGGGTTGCAGAGTTGCCAGCAATGTTATCTCCCAACGCACCTGAACTGATTGAATTCTTGTTACTAGAAGTAAAGTATCGATCCTCTTTTGTTATCGTGCTCTTCACTCTTAGTTCAGCTGTATTCCCTGATACCCTGATTCCCCGTATTCCCTGATCATAGTAAGATATCTCCAGTCACCAGCCTTTAGCAAACAAACCGGGCGTGTCCCAGACAGACCTGCAGAGCCCAGGAGCAGGGCATTAAGATGCAGTAAGATAAGGCTGAGTAAAAATTCGGTCTTTGTAATGCACCGTTCAGTTATTTGATGTGCCTTCCTGTGAAGACAGAAGTATTTCCCATTTTGCCTCTTCATTCCCCTGCTGGAGTAGTAAATTAAAGAATAATTTGGGGGGGGGGGGGAAATCTCTGTAGAAGAAATAGCAGGAACTTGACCTGTTTTACTCCATCCAAAGTTGATGGATCTTATTATGGCCTCATTTATTCTGATGCCTAGAGACAGGACAAGAGGCAATGAGCACCAATTCAAACACAGGCAATTCAGCTTAAACATGATAATAAAGTACTGTGAGGTGGTTCAACATTGGACCAGACTGGGGATACACAAGATGTGACTGGACAGGGTCCCCAGCAACTCTCTCTGGTTGACCCAGCTCTGAGCAGCAACTTGTACTAGACCAGAGCTCCCTTCCAACCTCAACTATTACATGATTCCATTCTTTGTGGGGAACTCTGGTCCCACTTCTTCTGAGCTGGTGTTTAATATTATCCCTTTCAAAAAAAATTACTGTGTTTGCTGCTAAAACATTCATTAGATTTTTTTTTTAATTCAGGTTGAACCATTGACTGCAAGACTTAATGACAGGGTTATTTGTCCATCTCATACTGCTGTGACTGAGGGTTACTTCTGACTGACAGATTCTTGAAGAAGGGGACTAATATTGTCACTCTGAAGCAGCGTTTGAATATTTTGAAAGAAGTTATTTTCTAGTCCTGTTTTTCTTGTATGTATATACAGGAAACAATGATTATGTTAAAATTCTGGTTTTGCAGATTGTGCCATATAGTGGGTAGAAAACCTCCATTCATGGTTCTCATGTAAATTACTTTCTAACCTCTATTAGCAGCTGTTCATACATGTAAAAAGTTAAATTGGAACCATTTCAAGTCCTCAGTTTGCATCAATTGCATGTCATTGTTCTTCCTTTTTATATTATTTAGCATTGTCAGTTTTTGTGCATGTTCAGTTCTGTGGTTTTTTTTTTTTTTTTCATTGTAATCCTTAAAAGTCATTGTCAACTAATTTTATTTTAAATTGTTTAGAAACATATAGCTCATGGCCTGGTCCCTGCTGCCACCATAGCTCCTAAACCTGCAGTTCCCCGCACCCCTCCCCCTCGTAGTCCAAACCCTTCTCCAGAAAGGCCCAGGTATGTTCTGATTTTTTTATTTTTTTTCCCGTCCTCAAGTACTATAACCTACTAGAAATGCATGATTAAAAGAGTCACATGTCCTTGCTGCAGTATTTGCATAAAGCTTTTCACAAAACCAATATATTTTTAAGTGGGTCACTTCCCCTCTTTTCAAATTTTTCTCCCACTCCTAAGTGTGGGTATTTAGGGTAATAACCACTAAGAATATGGAACTTGTCTGAGTCAATGAAAGACAAATGGACTGTTTAAAGTTAGAGTAATTTTTAATTTGGCTGCCACAGTAGACTGTAGAGCTGCAGCAGCACTAGTGCTGTGAGTCAGGAAATTTTAGCACACTAGAAAACCATATATTAAATGTTATGGATTTTTTTTTTTTAAGTCCCATGACAGGGACTTAAAAAACTGACATAATCCATTGGATTGGATGTAGCAATATAACAAGTCACATAGAAAAAAACACAAATCTGTTTTTCTTCTAAATTGTAGTTTCTTACAGTTTTTAGTCTATATTTTCTCCATGTTTAGTTCAGTTCCAGTTGTTTTCCATGGCCTTTCTAATGTCTATAACATTCCTACTTAATCCTAATTCATTTCTTCTTCCTTTTTGACTTCCAGTTGTTTTCTTTCCTTTTAGAGTCCTTGCCATTTCTTTGCTTTAATCTTAGTTCCTACTAGTTTTTCCTCTTCATCATATCCTTTCCCATACTCCACAGTGTCCCACAAATAGGCACTTCTGTTTACTTGTCCTGGTTTGCAGTGTGCCAACATTTATTAACAACTTCAGAGTCATCAGTAAAAGGTTCAGAGAGGGAATAATGGAAACTAGGAGGCAAAATAGCAGGACTTGGAACACTTTTTCTACACAATGCCAGGTAGTATTGTTATGACTAAAGTGAATGCTAAATGCTGTAAATGGTTGATGTGAATTTTAGGAAAGTAACTCAGAATATTTCATGATTTTCATGCGTGTGATTTGGGAAAACCAGAAGGTATTGTACTTTCCTCTTGGAAAGCTGCATTACAATAGCTTGCCCCATTTTGTGCTTTCCTTTGGGAGTTAATAGTTTATAACCAGTCCTGTGGGCATTCAGTGGGATTTATGCTTGTGAACTGTGAACACTTTGCTTTGCTTAAATAGTGAAGACGTTTTGCAAAGGAAAATATATCAAATGTGGAGAGCACAAGAGGACAGCAGCATTGCTTCCTTGGTTTTTCTCTGTTCTCTTGCAGGTCTGCTCTGGCAGCAGCAATCCTTGCCACAGCACTCACAGGGCGCACTGTTGCTATTCCTCAGCCTCGGCAGAGATCCCTTTCTGAGAGTGATTCCACCTCTTTGGAACAGGAAGGGTTTGAACCATATGCAACAGTGACCCAGCTCAGAATAGGGTACTGTACACTTCTGGTTTAGCTATCTCAGGTTAGAAATGGAACCTGCCAGTGATACAATTTTACCAAAGAGTTACAGCAAACTCCTGCTTTTTTTCTCACCACATCATAAATTCAGTCTGAAGTGTCTACAATCCTTCTGCCATTTCTTGTGAAGTCTTCAGAGAAGCAGACTTGGATTGTACAGCAGTCAGAAGTAAAATCATATATTATTTCTGCCAAGTGTGATTGAGTTAAATGACACATGGCAGATATTACAGTTACATGACAGATATTTCCTTTAGATAGAATTAGCAACCTTCTATCTCTAATGTGGCATTTTCTTTAAGATAGAGAGGACAAGGTAGTTCCAGTATTAATTGTCTGGTTTAGAGCACACACATAGGCTAGATTCCTAGTTCAGACATTCACCTGTGTCAGCTGTTTGGACTTGTGGTGTACATTGTAAGACTGATGGTTCTACTTTACTATGTTGGGTTTTTTTGAAGAGTGAGCAGCAGAGTTGAAAGTGGCATTAAGTTGCTTTTTACCTGCAGGTCCACCTGGAAACTTGATGGTTGTGACAAATCTCCTGTACAGTCCCTGGAAACATCAGGCCACTATGGTGAAGATGAGGACATGGATACCTATGTCTCAGATGCTGATAAAGAGGCAGAGTCCAGCTGTCAGAGTAATGAGAAGAGGGAAGAAAGCTTTAGCACAAATGCTGTTTATGCTGTTCCCTGCAAAAATAAAAAGGTAGGATTTTTAAGTGTGTTAATTACTTTACCATGTTTTAATATATTAATGCACATGTTAAATATTTCTGATGCTTAATGTTTTCTTCTTATTCTTCAGACATTTATTCAATGTTTGTTTCACATGCTTATTTTCGTGATTCATTTACTCTTACATGAGTTAGGTTTGTTGGTTCTCAGAGATTCCCTCTCTCTGATTATTAGGAGCCTTTTCTTACTGGGAAAACGCTGGTATTTTATATAATTATAATGCATAATTTATTCTTGTAAAATGCCCAATAATTTATGTTGCCATGGTACTTACATAGTAGATGATTTGTTAAGAGCACTTTACTCCTAAATGGTGAAAGCTTAGTTAATGTTTCAGTATTGTGCTAATGAGCACAGACCTTATAGAGACAGGGAGATTGGGAATCAAATGAAATAAATTACCTTGAAGATCAGGAACTTTTTCTATGTTATAATTTTGGATTGTCTTAACCAGCAATGCACAACTTAATACTCCTAAGGCATATTTAAAGTTCAGTCCAAAATGATACAAAAATTTAACAAACAGGAAGAGGTACCTGAGTAGGAGAGAGGCAATAAAATGCCTCTCCAAAAAATACCTCTTCAAAAAAAACAACACTAGTGAAGTGGAACCATCAGTCTTTCACATTTTGGATTTGTGGTTTGTATTGTAAGAAACCAAAAAACACCCCTAGGTGAAGAGACAGTAGTAGACTACAGATTTCAGAGAGATATCAAAGCACAAGGGCTGTTTTAACACTGATACCATGATTAAAATAGGCTTGTCTTGTTTTTTCATAGGAAGAGTTTCTACCATCTCCCACCTCTAACAGTGACAAGAAAGAGGTTCCTTCCCATGAAGCTGAGTCTCAGGTGGTGGTGGATAAATCAACTTTGCAAATAGAAGGTAAATAAACTTACTGTTACTTCAAAATGCCATAAACCATAGGGAAAGTAATTTTTGAATAAAATAAATGTCAGTCACAGTCAGTCATGGCTGGGCTTCATGAATGAAGATTTGGGAAGGGCTCTACCCATGTTTGTTGCAAAAAATAAATGTAATACTATGTGATAATGGTATATCCCTTTTTTTAAAAAGAGCAATTAAAAATGATACTATTTACTTAGCAATAATTTTAAGTAATTATAGAACATTGAAAAGATGCATAAGGAGGGAAGATTGGTCTATATTCACTGTGGAATGACTTCCTAAATATCCACTATCAGCCAGTGTAAAAAGAGAGAGGGGAAAAAAAAGGTTTTGTGAACTCTGTCTTGTCCAGTACAGTCATTCTCTGCTATAAATCCAGTGAATCATTTCAATTTATGCTCTGGAAATCTGGAGTGTTACTGTGCTCAAAAACTGGAAAAAATTAGGAACTATAGAAGCTACCAATGTTAAAAAAAAAAAAAAAAGCTGCAGATAGAGGAGAACATTTTTAATCAGTCATGTTCCTCGTATGAAAAAATGCCATGACAGAAAACCATCAATAAGAACTTCTGGGTTTTTTAATAATCAAATGACATGATAGTAGTGTTGCTTATCCTTTCTAGAGAAGTTGAATCATTATTGCTGTCTTTTAAGGTCTAGGCCTTAAAACTGTGCATCAGGTGACAGAGGATGTTTCTAGAGAATAGAGAAATTACCCTGATCATCAGGCTCAGGTTATCACCCTTAGCTCTGAATTGTTAAGCTTCACAAATCACTTTTTTTCAATAAGTGATTTCATTGGATCAGAGACATTTGGTTTGTAACTGGACCTGTCGTTAAGCTGTTTTCTTGTAGCAATACAATATTGTGGAGAAAAAGTTAAAACAATACAACAAGACCAATCTACTTGTGTCACAGGTTTATTGCATAATTGTGTCGTCTGTTCTTTTAAAATCAGGAAAATGGGAAATAATTCGTTTCAGAGCTGGAAAATGCAGTTTTTACAGTGGATGGCAGCACTCTGTAGCTATTGAACAGGAAAGAGAAAGCAGAACTGAGTCTGTTTTGAAAAAATATTGTCTTTATAAGTTTTATTATTTTAGATCTCAGTGTTTTTTCAGTATTATATCAGTGAGATATTTCAGAAGTTTTATAGAGAATAATATCTAGAAAGAATGAGTTCCTTTCATAAAACCATTTGGAAAATGAAGGCATTAAACTGAAAGGAACAGGATATATACACCATTTCTAATCCCTCTTCTACACAGTATGTGCTGCAGCTCTTGGAAGCTGCCAGAACTGTATTTGCTTTGTTCAGAGATGCAATAGGATTCAAGCTCAGTGAAATCAATGAAAATACTTCACTTGTCCTTTAGTCAAACTCTAAAATGATAACAAGCAAACAGTGCAGCATCATTTCTTCCCCACTTGCATCTATACAGTGTGAGGGAAAGGAAGGTCTCACATCAGTGTCCTGACACCCCATGAAAGGGATAGTGGAAAATTAGTGAGCTAATTTGTGGGTTGGGCAGGACTTTCTTACATTTATTTACAGTGTACATATGTGTGCATACATATCCTTATGAACCCTTATAGTTTACAAATAATTACAAATAATTTTTGTAGTTACAAACAATTTTTGTTTCAGTTTACTGAAAGATCTGTTTTTCTTTAGCAGAAGACCAACATCTTGGCTTGAACTTAAAGGTAAGACTTAGATAAAGGTTGATTTATGATGTATTTTGGAAAATAGGGTGTCATAAAGAGCTGTTAGTTTGCAGTCACTTAAAAGAAAATTAATTTATTGCCACTAGGGAATCTTTTTCTTTTAGAGTACAAGAATGGCTAACCATTCCTTTTGAAGAAATACAGCTATATAGGTAAATATACATACAAAAGTTGGATTGTTTTTTTCTTGTCTTCTGTTATTTCTCATGTGAAAGAAAGAAACTGAGACTGGGACACATCACACTACAGCAAGAGATGGCTCTTACTGATAATTTTCAAATTCTGAGCCTGATTTCACCACATTTTTCTACAGTTTTCCAACTGGGCCCATCTGGCTGCTTTCATAAGCTTGAAAAAGAATACCCAAAAGTTTAGTTTCTCAGTTTCAACTTGCTGGAATATTATTTACAGAAATGGTCAATTCTTCCATGATTATCATAACTTTTTCCTTCAAGTCCTTGAGCACATGTATTTTCTTTTGAAATTGTTCATAAGTTTTGACTCACTTAGTCATCAGTGTCACTCAGTGTCATCACTGTGTTAAATTTCATGGCATCACATCCTTACAAAGCCTCACTGCTGTTTTATAGGAACATGGTCTCTATATAATCATGTTCACCTCAAGTAAATACATTGGTTAAATGAGCCTGGATTTCTTTCCTGGTGAAAGAATCTTCCAGAAATGTAAAAATAAGTACTTTTATTTTTTTTTACAGCAAAGCAAGAACAAAATTCTTCAACTTTAAAGAACATTTTCCATTTTGATTTATTTGCTGATACCCAGTTAGGGACTGGCAGTTCAAGTTCATACCATAATTGATTAGTCTAAAGTCTTATTTTAGTGGGAACAATATCCATCCTGTTTGGTCAAGAAACCTTATGTTTATGGGACTTTTTTGTCAGCCATAAAAAAAATATTTTGAGAAGTGTACATTTCTTATAACTAAAAATAATAGTTTCAAATGTCCACAAGTGACTGAAGGCAGTGATAAGTGACAAAATGATGCCAAGATGAGTGAGAAGTTTGTGTATTATCAGCAGTGAATCCAGCCTTAAATTTTGTTGATATAAGAGAAACTCCTTCTCAAGTTTTGTTTCTTAAGTTCTCCAACAGTGATGCTGTTCAGAGAACTACAGGAAGGGTGACTGTTAAAGCAAATTATCTCATATTTTATTTCTCTACTAGGAGGAAAAACCATTAGCTGAAAATCTGATACGTGAAAAACCTCCACCATCCCCAGGTACTTTGGATTTTTCTATGCCTTTACTACACCTCTTCACTTAATAATAGGCATTTTTATATAAAAATACATTTTTCTGCTTGTATTTGTGTGTGTGTGAAAGTATTTTCCCTGTACAGGAGATGAGAAAGTGCTGAGTGCTCTGTGATATGTATCAAAACAACAGTCCCAGGCTTTTTGTGTTAGGTGGCTTAGACTTGGTTTTTTATTTTCCAATCTGAGTGACTTTTGAAGTCTAAAGTAAATGATTGTGAAATGATGTAATAAAGTCATGCTGGATCTCTCCAATACCTTAAATTTAATCTACACTGGAGGGTGTCACCATTATTAAGTGTGTCATTGCAGCTGAACTGGTGAACACACACAGGATCCATGGGCTGCCTTCCTCAATAACAAGGGATAGCTCTTTATTTGGCTTCAGATAAATCTTATTCTAGGGAGCTGTCCTGTGCTGAGTTACACTGATGCCTGTGTGCTGTTAGGTTATACTGGCAAGGCTGAAATTCATTTGAATAGGTCACCTGTTTATCCCATACAGATGGCAAGGAAAACTTGGAAGTGTGAGCCATTATAACTGATGCAACAATATATCCACGGTTTTGCAGATAATCTAACATTTTACTTTTGTAAGGATTGTTGAGTAACTTCTTTTCAGTGACAGATCATTGAAAATGTGGGAAGGAAGGTAAAGCTTTCATTGTATAGGTGATTAAAATAAGAAGGGATCAAGAAGACTGACTGGTCCATGCAGTGAACATTTTTGTCTCATCTCTCTAGTCACTGATGCTTGGGAGAGAGAGATCTGCTGACACTTTCTTTCCCAATTAAAGAAGGAATCTTTTCAGTGTCTGAGAGAAAAGGTGGGAGCTTGCAGCCACTCCACAGCTCTCTCCAAACCTACTTTTTTAAATTCTTTCTGATCTTATCTTTTGGGAGCCATGAGCTGATTTATAGCTTATAAAGTATCACTCATACATAATGCTGATGTTGGGAAAAACTGATTGTAATTTGCTGAAACTCATATTCTGGTCTGAATACCATTTAAATCTCTTGGGCTGTGCCACTGCAGATGTGTCTGTTCGGGCAAGGCAAACATGGGAAAATATGACTAAAGAAAAGTTCAGAGAACTAAAACAAGAGAAGTGGTCTCTGAGCAAGGCATACCAGGCTGTGGTGCAGCAGCTGGAGGGAACAAAACAGCAAATGGAAGAGCAGCAGTTAAAGCTGAAGAAACTAGAACAAGAAAACAGAAGGCTTAAAGAAGCTGCAGAGGACTCACATAGAGAAGGTGGGAGAAACACATAAGCCATTCTGTAGCTATCTGGTGGGATTTTTCTGATTTCTTACAACCTGTTCCTGTAGTAGTAGCTTTTAAGTCATTGATTTAGGCAAGTATCTGTGCAGAAGTAGTTTCCAAACTTTTGGAAAGTTTTCTACATTTGTAGAAATTTTATCAAGGAATACTTACATAACCATGAAAAAAAAATACTTGGTGGTTGAGTTTTTTATTATAATTTTTCATGGGATTATTCCATAACTGTATTTTGAGATAAGTTCTCTTATGATTCTAGTTTATTGAAATTAATTTTTTTTCATTACAATTAACAAATTGTTGTGAACATTTCATGAGTTTTGATTCAACTTTCTTGTTGGATATTTGTTTTAGCAGAGGAGGCAACAGAATTACTTTCTCTCAGGCAACAAGCACAAGAACTGGTAGATGAAAATGATGCTTTGAAAATGGTGGTTCATCGTTTAAATGTAGAATTAAGTCGCTATCAAACTAAATTCAGGTCATTGTCCCAAGAAGAGGTGAGAGTCTTGGTTATAAAGGCAGTTTCTACTTAATTGTCCCACTGTTATTTATTTTTTGAGGTTTTTATTTTTTTTACAAAGTCTACAAATGGCACAGGCTTTTCCTGAAATTTAAAATAAGCCTTTATCATTAAGTCTAACTTCAAGAAGTCAGTAGTATTCTCCTGTATTAGTAAGATACTGAACTTCCAGTTTTGTTGACTTTGAGTGTGTGTAAGATGTGCAACACATGTAATTAGAAACATAAGCTCTGTTGTGACTGCAGTTGGTGCTTCAAAAAGCAGGAAATAATATCAGTATCTTTTTAAAAATCTGCTCTAGCATGTAAAGCTTAAAGGCTTACCCATGAAAGGACCACCACCACCATGGCTGGTAAGTCAAATAATATTTTCACTTCTCTGTTTATTCCTTTCTAAGTAAAGTTGTAGAATTTCTTTACTGGAAACAAAACATTCAGGATATTATTTACTTACTTTGCTGAACTATCACAAATTAATAGAATATTATAAATATTCTATATATTCTATATAAATACCTTCTTCACTTACCATTGCCTAGCATATAGTTTGCTTCAAGGTCTCCCAAGGTCTACTGCTTAATTGTTAATCTCCTTAACTGTCAGTCTTCTGCTGTTATTATTTTTAAGATGATACTAAAAGAAAATAGAATGTTTCAGTCATTCTGATGGTAGCCTATGAATTTCTGGCAAGGAGAAGGCAAATAGTCTGTGAGATTCAATGCATTAGTAATAGGTAAAAGAATTTCTCCTTGAAATGCTGATCAGATCTTACATTTCCCTTCCTCATTGTTTCTCAGAACTGTATTGTACAGGAAAATGCTCCTGCTCTGTCTTTCTAGCCATAATAGCCAGAAATCATGTACTATTTACTTTTAAAAATGCAGGCTTGAGAAAGTAGAAATTTCTTTCCCACTTACTAATGAATCTGGGATAATTTTTTAATTAGTGATAATCAGTGTAGTGTTTCAGTTTTGGTTTGTATTCATTTGCAGCCACATTCTGCTGTTAGAGCTGCTTTTTAGTGAAGTGTGCCAATACAGTGTCCAACTGCCCTTTTGTCAGCAAGTCATATACAAAAACTATTTACAGCTTTTAAAACTATAGCAGGAGAAGTAAAAAATACAGAGGAGATTAGTTTTTGTAATTAATTTCTATTTATTGATTTATTTTTTCTTTAATTTTCTTTTAAGTTGGATATGAAGTATTTGTCACCTCTTCTGTTGGCTTATGAAGACAGAATAAGAGAAAAGGAAGATTTTATTCTTGAGCATGAGGCAAGTTGCCATTTAAAATACACACTAAAGTGGAAATATATGACTGAAATTTTCTGAAGGGATTTGTCAATGCTCTTTTCTGCTTAAAATTTGAAGTGACTGTTTTACTTTTCCATGCATAGTTATTGTGTCTCATCCTTCTTGACTTGCTTGTTTTTGTCAGCCTGTTCAGCTTCAGAAGTGAGCACTACACTGAGAGGTGGAAGGTGGGCTCTAAGAACAGAGTAAATCATAAACACAGTGGTAGAAAGAATTTACTGCTGTCATCCATAATGGGGATTCAGTGCTCTGTAGAGCTTCTCTTCCACCTGCTTGTGGGTATGAAAGCAGAACTCCCATAGGCTTTAAAAATAGATTTATTTCCTTCCAAAAATTAAGCCATAAAATGAGTGGAAAACACCAAGGATTTTATTACAGTAAATTCTCTGTCTTGTCCTACCATATTCAAATCCATGTCATTCCTTCTAAAAATGTATAGTGTCATCCAGGAATTTCCAGAATTTGGTTTTTTAAATACGTATTTTAAGGATCTACGACTTGCAAAAATGTGGCACAAATCAAATATCAGCATTCTTTTTAATCAGATATTACTAGATTGATGAAACAGTTTAGAAATAAAATATGCACATCTGAATTAGAGATGAGTGAGTTGTGAAATGATATGCTATTAAGTCAGGAATTAGAAACATATATGTTTATAAAGATTTTTTTTGACGTAAAAATGAAAACAAAATACTTCCCTCTAAAGAATTTTATGTGAAATCCTTTGTCTTCCAGGAGGATATGAAGAATTTTAAAGCACGAGTTGAAGAGCTGGTGAAGGAGAATGAAAACCTGCATGAGCGATTAAATAAAAATAACTTCATTACCTCAACAGAATGGCAAGTTATATTACTGGAAATTAATTTAAAAGTTACTAATTATTTTGCTTGTTGCATGCAAACTTTGAAGGTTACAGATTTTAGGGAAAAATTTTTTTTCCCTTCAAGCAAATTGTTTTGCTGAAGGGGTAATAGGGTCACGATTGCCCTGATGGAACAGTGCTGATGTGCAATGCCTGGAATCATTTTGGGGTAAAGATTCAATATGAATGTGCAGTTTTGCACCTGAAGCCCATGTAATTCTGTCCCAGATTTTGAAGGTTTCATACTTTGTGTGCCAATGACATCAGTTTTCTATTAGTATAAAATGGCAACAGAGTGTGGCCTTAGAAGAATTCAATATTCTTGAGCAATGAAACAATGCAAATGTAATGAAGTTAAGTAGTAGAAAATACTTGAGACTTAAGAACAATTTACCTAAGTGAGACATTCGTCTGTTGGTAGCTGAGATGGAGAAGAGACTGTTTGTACTGGTTCATTGCAAGATGATTGTGAGCTTTTTAAGGCAACAGCTATAAAGAAAAAGAAAGGTAGCACAGTCCTGGGGTATTTTAGAATAAGTCCTCCCAGTAGAGGTTGGGCAGGAACAACGCAGCTGTATGGAAATCTCTGGAGAGTCCTGGTCACAGGTTTAGGTACAGAGTATCAAAGCTGAAAGGGTGAAGAGCCTCTTTTGTTTGGAGCTTAGGCACATGGGCCTTTCTCGCTTCAGAACTAAGGCTGAGGAAGGACAGTGTTGCTCTCGGGGAGGAACAGGAGACACAAAGAACAGGAGTGTACAAAGAACATCTCAAGCTGCAGTTCTGGGACTCAGGGCAGTGTTACTAGAACAACAACTGGGTATTCATTCACCATGAACAAACTTGAAGTGGAAATTGGAAGATAGTTCCTAACCAGAGTAACAGTTTTTGGAACAGCATCCCCTGTGAGTGAACATAAAAATTCTTCCTGCACCCATGGCACAGGTGGTAGTTGTGGAAGGGCTCAGGTGGCTCAATGTCTACATGAGGAGCATTTTGACTCCAGGATTTTGACTCTTCCACTCTGAAGTCTTTCTGCAGATTCACCCAACAACACAGACTGACTTTCAATGAGCACCTGCTCGAGGCAGAATTACAGGTGTTAGTTCTGCATAGATTTTGCTAAGTAGGTTGTTTTTAAGGGGTCAAAGTGTTGCACAGGTGCTTTAATAAAATACTGTGGATATTTTATGTGTCCTTGGGTGCTTATATACTGTCCACAAATTGCAAAACACACGTTGGCTAATACTTCTCAACTTTTTAAACTCTTACTAGAACAGCAAATACTTTCTTAAGCTTTATTTTTATAACATCAGAAAGACTGGTATTGTTTTTCTTAAAGGCTGAATTAATACAAGTTAAAAAGCAGAGAGCTGAGTTCTCTGCTCAGGAGAGTTCATTTTAAATGCCCATCTTCCTCAGAGGCTCATAAAGCTCACTGGCAGTATTTTTCTAGAGGTCAAAGCCAAGTAAATCCAAATGCTATCCAAGATTTTATCATGTTTTGATAACAAATCTGCTTCAGTTACTAGTTATGATGCTGTTTCCAGGATGACCTCCTGAAGTTGGAAATCCCTTCAAACCTTATCCATTCTAGGATGCTACACTCCTAATGCACACATACTGATTTTTCCTTCTTTCTGTAGGGATTTTTTGCTTTTGTTACTCAAAGGTTTAAAACATTATTTAAAATAAATTACATTTTGATGGTTGTGAGTTCATGTCTTCAGTAAGCTTACCATAGGTCCTGACATTGCTTCCAATAAGGGTTTTCACTTTGTTCTTTAATGAGGTGCAAATATGTTTTTTAACACCATTGAATGTCAATGGGGACATAAGCTAACATTTGAGTTATATTTTATTTACAAGCTGGTTATCATTGCAGGCAGCAGCTACAAACTCAAGCCAAGCTGGTCTTGGAAGAAAATGGATTGTTGATGGAGCAGCTCAAAATCCAACAAGCTAAAGCAAAAGATAGTCACAGGCAGCATGTGCAAGAAGGTAAAGTGCTTGAGTTGCCAGTCATTTGAACTACACTAAAGATGGTACTACAGGTTTGGGGTTTTTTTGTGATTTTTTTTTTTGTTTATTTTCTACTGTTGTCATTTTTGGGAGGTCTTGCTTTTGTTTGGTTGGGGGTTTTTTGCAACTTTATATGTGCCTAAAAAACATTGCTGAATGTAGGTGACATTAATACGAGATCAAGCTCTTGATGTCAACTGATCCTGAAAAGAATGTCAGTGTCACCTATTGCCACTAAATAACATTTTGACTTCTTCTGAAAAAGTGGCAAGAGCTGTTAATATCAAAACATTCTTTTTTGTAATTTAAGAGCACTTTAAACTGAATGAGAATTTTTCAGTGTAAAATGATGTTTCAATGATCCTACAGCTCAGAAAAGAAGCAGTCTTCAAGTTTCAACATTTTACCAAAACAAGTTGCTTGAGACAACAAAAAATAAAATACAAACAAACTAACAAATCCGCTGTTCCATAATGCTGTGAACAACTAGGAATTAACATATTAATGGTTTAGTTGGAGTTTCACTAGGTGATTGAATTAGTTCTGTTATACCCAGTTGGGTTTTTTTTTTTCCCCTCCCAAAAGCTTCAAAGTTGACCAAACAGATAGTAATCTTAGAAGGGAAGAAACAAAGCCAAGAAGAAGAGATAGCAGAGTACCAGAAGCAATTAGAAGCTTTGTGTTCTACTTGTGAAGAACTGAAAGCCAGAGTGGAGAGCAGAATAGCAGCAGAGGAGCATTTGGCTTTGGTGAATGATTTAAAGAGGTATGAATTTATGTGTGGTGCATGGAGAAGCAATTCTGCAAAGTGTGGACATGAACAGAGCTGCACTCTGGAGGTAGGAGGCCAGTGGAAACTTCTACTGGTAATCCAGGAAGGCAATTACCAAAGTACAAAGAAAGGGAAAGAAGTATTTAAAAAATACTCTCTTGGTTTTTAGGGACATTTAAATTTACCAAAGGATATCCCAGATCTAGAAACATGGGTAGGAGTGTTCCTACCATAGAGTACATACTGCTAATTGTACTGTCTTAAATAGTAGAAGAGGAGGCATTAAAAATATCATTTTTGTCAAATCTATTTATTTCTATCAATGCTATAAATTAAATGTTTTCATTCTTTCGTTCCCATCTTTGGGAACATGTCTAAAGGATCCTGAAACTCTAAACCAGGAGTTCTGAGTTTCTCCAGTCTTTACAATATAGAAATAACAGGAAACAGCACAACTCCAGAGTGCTGCCATGCACTGCCTGCAGAGTAATGTTTCCCTGAAGGCATTCTGTAAATTTATTTGCTTCCAAGCCTTTGGATAGTGCAACTTGCTGTTTTGTGTCCTGGGAAGTTCTCAGACTTTGTATTTTGGCATTGCTAGTAATGTCTTTGGAAAAAAAAAAAAAGGAATACATTTGGCTGCATATTTTTATAATTTAAATGAATTGCAGTCAGAATGAATTATTTAAATCATTCATGATTTGAGAATGTCATACCTGTCTGATGTCACCACTGAACATTAAGTATTCTCAGTGTATCTTTTTCATACCTTTAACAGGGTGATCTTCCTGTAATTTAGCTTTTTAGTGAGGAAGGTCTGTACATGACACCTGTCCTGTGCTGTTGGGTTTTGCAGACAGTTGCAGGAGGAGCAGGAGAAGAAGCGCTGTGAGGTGGAAGATGTGATGGGAAGGGTCACATCACTGAGAGCTGAGAACCAGAAACTGCTCCTGGAGAAAAACAGCTGCCTGGCTGACAACAAGGCCCTGCAAACTGAAATGGAAGTGACACAGAAGACAAACAGGTCACACCACAGTCTCATTTTCTTGTACAGAAATACTTGTATTTCTAACAATAACAGCAGAAATATCTGTAAAATTGTCTGGCTTCCCATAATGAGTGTTTTCTACCTACTGCAGAAAAAACATGTTTCCTAAACATATCTTTGTCAGGTCCAAAGGCCTGGCTGTCAAGTTTTGCTGACTTTTGTATGTTTTCATGCTCACTTTTCTGTGACTACATGCACACTGAGAATATTTCTTTACTGTAGTAGTTAGTAGTGTGAGTAACAGTTAGCTATAGCAATGAATCATTTGTGTACTGGAAATAAGGCCTTACACTATTTGCAAACCTTCTCATGCACCCAGTTGGTTCAGAGATGGGGTCACAACACTTTAAAAAATAAAACCAATATTATTGTTGTATTTCTTAAGGATTATGAACTTTTAACCATTGCACAAACTGTTCTTTTGAACCATTGTTACTGTTATTCAGACAACATGTTGTAAAGAAAAACAGCCCCAAAAGTGGGACATGGTACTTTTGGCACTGCAAATATTGTGAGCCAGTGCATTTTTAGCAGCATGTTTGATTGTTTGAGACTTGTGCATGTTGATTTGCACATGTGATGCGAGTTTTTAATGCCATTATTAATTCCCAATCTGTTCATTTTATAGGCGACTAAAGAAGAAAATAGGTGTTTTACAACTGCAGCTGGAGGAAGTGATGGAAAAAGAAGTTATAGCCCATTATTACCTAACAAACCTTATTGGTCTGGTGGAGAAGATAGCTCAGGAACGTGATCACCTTGTATCTTTGGTAATTACCTTGAAATAATTAATATTAATTGGTATTTCACACCATTATCATCCTACTGGCACAACTTGCAGTTAATCTGAATTATCAAAAAAGAAAACTATAATTTCAGTTTAAGGATTTAGCTATTTAAGTAGACTTTAGCAAATAGGATGGGAACAGCAAAAGATTTTTTCTAGAAGAGTGACTAAAAGCAAGTACCCTTATTTCTGGAGTTAACATAATTCAGCCTTAATTCACATGAGCATTAGGGATTGCAGTGTTATATATCAAGCTTGTAAGACTTTTTTAAACTTAAAATTTTAAGACTGCAAGCTACTTTTACATACATGTAGCTCAACACCAATCTCTAAAATTAATACAGGTCTCTTAATCTAAAGGTAAGGTTTTATCTTTGAAGGTCTCTGTGGACCTTCTCCTGTGGATACACTTGGTGGTATTGCATTTTATTGGTTAGCAGTCATTTTAACAGGCTAATTGAGAGTTTTGGAACAACTTCTCTTTAGTGGAAGTGTCTGGCATGGAGGTTACTGGGCTTTTCATAAGCACATTTTCTTTCCTTTACAAGATCTTGGAAACAATTTCAATTTGACATATTGGTCCTCTGTCTTCAAATTGGTCCTGAAACTGTTTCACAAAACTTTGTCAAAGCTTTTTTGTCTTCTGTTGTTCAAGTTGTACACAAAGGTTGTCATCAATATTGGGTACAAAAGAGCAGTTCATTGCTAATTCTACAAGAGGGACTATGGTGACCCAACTCAAATCCTACAAATTAGGCTTCAGGATTTTACAACTGGGCACAAATGTCTCTTAGGAATTAGGGGAATTGATCCTTAGATCTTGATTTGTGACTTAGATTGCCCAAGTCTTGCTTTTTTTTTTTTTATGAATCCACTGTGTCTGGGCCAACAGCAGAGAGAGATTCAGACTAATTTTTCTACTGAAATAGAAAAAAACTTCAAAATACCCAGTTTACTTTGGTGCCTCATAAAGCTGTATCAAAACAACCCACTCCTACTTTTAATTGCTGAATCTTAGCAGAAAGTTAGACTGCAGGTTTCTTTTAGCAGGTACTCTGATAAGGTTTTCTAGTGGGAAGACCTAGAAAACAAGCAAACAAACAAAAAGTTAGAGGTAGACCCTAATGATTCTGAAGAACCACTACTGGTTATGACAAAGTTTAAAATGTAGTATCATTCCCCACCTCAAAATTCAGTAATGTCAGTTCAGCTACAGCTGTTAATCCTTGCCTTACTCTTTTTTAATTCATTCATTGAATTAAATCATTGAAATGCATTTTATGCAGATTTCATCCAGAAGAAGAGGGTCAGCAGAATGGTACAGCATTAAAAAATTAGCCTATATTCTTAACTTATTGAGGGTTAAAAGAAAATGTGTAGTAATCACATCTCCACAAAAATAAAGGCATAGTCTTAAACTTACTATTTCCAGGAACAGTGACAGCCTAAAACAAAGCAGCAACAAATTTGTTTAAATCAATTCTGATAGTGGAACAGTGATGATGAACTGTAATCCTGAGTTAGCAGCTGTCAAAGTTGTCCTTGTATTGTATTGTATGATTCAGCTGCCTCACAGTAAATCAAACTATCACTTACTGAGCATGAAGTTCACAGACTCCAGCAGGGCCAGGTAATTTTGACTTCTGGGAAAGGAGATGTGTCTCTGCAGTGATATGGGTATTCAAGGTGGTCAGACATTTTTGATTCTAAATGCTACTTCTCTTTTGAATGCTCTCAGTGGATTTGACAATTGAAGCCTCTTACAGTTTTAAAGTTATTTCACTGTTCATAGGTTATACATTTTTGTTTGGTTTACTTTTTACATCTGGGAACGTAGTGCCTATGAAACAGTGAAAAATGGGATCCCTACAAACATATACCTGTAGAAAAATACACAGAATAGGTTGAGTTTACAGTATTAGTATCCTTTCAGAATAATACTGTTTCACAGTATTCACAGTCAGTTGAAAAATTATTAAATAATCAGCCATTAAAGAATGATTTTCAGGACTTGTTTTCAGTGTTGGTTCTTCAGACTATGGGAGCTCAAAATGGAATTGCTGTGTCTTGCTCAGTGTCAGTGTTTTGTCTGCTCTAACATAATGATTACATTTAGTGATGTATATACGTGTGGTTGCAGGCCAGATGTTTGGAAAATGAGAAGCAGGGTGTTCTCAATAAAATGATAGAAGGCAGTCTACGCTTAGGGAGACTGGAAGAGAAAGTTAAGGTAAGCAGTGTTTCTAAGCTAAATATTTATTGTGTTTTGGGTTTTCTGGTGAGAAAAGTCAACAGTTAATTTGTGTCAGTGTTTTTATGAAAGACTTATAGATTATCTTAAAATGTTTCTAAAAAGCAAAATAGATCCTCAGTATAGTTTTCACCATTGTGTTCATACATTGCATGTCTGCCAGATCACAGCGTTTACACCTGGAGAACCTAGGACTAGTTGTAAAAATACTTAAAGATTATTTGTATTTTGGTTTTACTTTGTAGTGTGACCCAAGTCCCACTTTTTTGAGGCTGTACTAATGCTTCAGCTTGAAGTCCATTCCAATTCCAATGGGAAGAATGAAAAACATATCTCAAGTGTACAGTTACCATCAGGTGCTTTCATGTGGCCAAAGGGTGGGAGGTTTAGAAACTCAGGGGATGTTCAAACATGCAGCCGAGTTAGAGAATACATTCTAGGTTATCTTTACAACTCTCTAAACAAATGCAAAGCACAGTGTGGAATTGCAGTATAACAGCATTATATAAATTTGAAACACTTATGTTTCAAAAATTTCACTTCATAAAATATCTAAATACATTAAACACTACCCTAAAAAAATTATCTAATTATACTAATACAGCCATAAAATGTTTTTAACACTTTTCACCCTCATTCATGTCTATCTTCCCTACCAAGACAGTGGCTTATATTCTTGTTAAATACACATTTTATGCAATTTAATAGATCTGTATCTAAGGGATAGAGAAGAGGTTTGCATAAGATTAAGAACATTTACTTGTAGTGAATTTTAAGTGCAAAACCAAATTTAAAAAAATCCTTAACCCATCGACTATTAATGGAAATCAGAAAAAAAGTCTGTAAACAAAGTTCTTAAACACAGCTGTTTCAATTTAACAGAAGTAAGACTAATCTACTTGCAAAACCTTTTCATTCTTTATTTTTGTCAGTAAAGCAGAGGGCTTAAACAGTCACACAACACCTACAAATGTCATATTCTCTTTGGTTATTGTATTAATTGAACTTTGCTAAAAGCTGGTATAATTTATTTCTTTACTGCTTCGGGAAATCACATGTTGGGTAACTGCCCTGTGTCTTGAGTTTCAGGATAAACCTCTTCTGAGGTATTTAGGTGTAATCTGTCTCCAGTGATAACAGTCCTTAAAACACATTCATTTTTCCCGCCAGGGTGACACAGCCGTTGATAATGGGAGTGTTAGCTATTTCTTATCTCACAGAAGTTATTGGGCCTTGGCTTTTAGCCACCTGCAGCTATTTCCTCAAGATACAAGATAAGAAACACAAATTATATGGACCGGACCATGGAGTCCTCAGGGTATGAGGAGAGAAAAGTTTCCTACCTGCAGCTCTGAGTTACTTCCAAGTGCCTACAGTGTGAATCTACTTTTTGGACACAACTAGACTTTTTTTTCTACTCCTTAGACACAGCCAGGTTTACTTACTTACATTTCCCTTTTGCTGAGTTTGTTGCCTCGTGTCACATCAGGAAGCAGCTCGTCCAAAACTTACAGGTCAGATGCACCGTGTGCCTCTCAAAAGATTTTCTGGGGCTTCTTTTACATCACTACAATGGTTATTTGAGGGGATACAGAAGGAAGGTTATGTGGGACAACCCTTCTCCACTGGAAACACATCAGACACCCTACGGAGAGAGGTTGTTCCAAAAGCTGGCAGTTCCATTCCCTTTGGATCACTTCCCTCTGAACTCAGGTCATCTGTGCCTTGCACATAAAATAGATCTGGTCTTCTGGGCCAGAAGACTTTTTCATTAATTCTTTTGAAGAAAGAAAATTAATAAAATCCTGTAGTTTTTCTTTTTCATTGAGAAGTCTCAAATTAAGTCAAGGTCTGTCAAATCTGTTATTAAAGACAAAATCACTGTGAAAATCTTTAAAGCTAAATAACAGGTTATTGCTAAAATAAGCCCCAAACTCATGTCAATAATACACACAGCTTTATTACATATTTTAAACTGAGTTTTTTACACAGCCCTGAAGATAATTGTCAGTGATCTTAATTAAAGTATTTTTAGGTGCCATGGGAGACAGTTGGTAATGTTCTGTAGCACACAATACAAATTCCATCAGTGTTCCCATTCCAGGGCTATTCTGTGAGAATTATAGCACTTCTTATAGAGCAGTGAGAAGATTTCATTCAGATGGTCCTTTGCTCTCTTTTGGAATGGACAATACCAATTTTACTGTTAAAGGATTGAAGAAAAACAACACATGATTGACAGAAAATAGCTTTATTGCCTCAACAAATGATCAGATCATTACATGTACCATAGCCAGCAGCCTCTGTTTGTAGAAATAATGTTTTGTGGGCTCTGCAGTCAGAATTCTCTGCCAGTTTGTAGTTCAGTACTCGAGGTGAAACAGAGCTGTGGTGCCCAGGAGTACACCTTCCCCAAATGACTTAGAAGAGTGTAAGTTATGTCCTCTTCAGTACCAGAGCTGCATCCATGATCATTCCTCACCTTGCTTACCCTATACCTGATGCCATGACCTTGGGCCTTTCTAGCTCTAGAGGAAACTATTACGACTTCCAGCTATGTGTGTTATCAGCCTCTTCCTGGTGGTGATATCTCCACCAGTCTGTTTACTGCCACCTGCTTCACTTCCAGGAACATTAATAGTTTATCTTGGACAATTCAAAGGGAAGGATCTGTGTGTGCCAGCAGCCACGTCTGTCAGTGTGCCCAGAACCACCCTGACCTGCACAGGCTGCATTTTCCATAGATGTTGTTATAATCCATCCAGAGGAGCAGGATCAAAGCTGTGTATCCCTCATATCTGGTTTCAGGCTATAAGAAAATGGTGCATTTTTGCCCTTTGTGCCCCACAGATTTTGCAACCATTCTACACGCGGCTTCAGTTGGCAAAGGAGGAGCAGAGCCAAGAGAGGCAGCTATGGGAGATGAGGAATCATAGAGTCATAGAATCAGCTGGGTTGGAAGGGACCTCTGAGATCATCAAGTCCAACCCTTGATCCAACCCTGCTGTGGTTCCCAGCCCATGGCACTGATGCCACATCCAGTCTCATCTTAAAAACCTCCAGGGACGGAGAATCCACCCCTTCCCTGGGCAGCCCATTCCAATGTCTGATCACCCTCTCTGTAAAGAAATTCTTCCTAATATCCAACCTAAACCTCCCCTGGCACAGCTTAAGACTGAGCCCTCTTGTCTTTCTGATAGCTGCCTGGGAAAAGAGACCAACCCCCACCTGGCTACAACCTCCTGTCAGGGAGTTGTAGAGAGAGATGAGGTCTCCCCTGAGCCTCCTCTTCTCCAGGAGCCAGAGGCTTGAACCATCCCAGGCAGAGTGCAGCTGAAAACACAACACTCACCTTAAAGCAGAGCTCTCTGCAGCTGGGAGGTCAATGACTGGGAGATGAAAAATGGGTTTCACCAACACGACCGGCTGCTTTATCAGCCTTTGCTGTGATAAGAAGGTCTCTCTAGTTCTCTGAAATTATTAATTATGGGCACCTGCCCTGGAGAGAGCATTTCCTGGACTTGAGTAAAGCTGGAGAATTTCTTGGCAGAGGGGAAAGTTCTGCTGTTTCCCTGTGCTCTGCACTTCTTCTGCTGGCTCTGAGCAACCTGCTGCTCAGAAGGAACTTGTTTTCCTTTACCTTCCCACAGCATTACAGTGCAAACACCTGACTCTGCATTTTGGACTCTTCTCTGGGGATCTAAAAAGTTGAATGATGTGACTGGTTGACTTGCAGGCTTCTAATTCTTTTCTTGGATCTGACAGGGAAAAGCTAGGAAAAACCCCATGTGTAAGTCATCCTTAAATATTGAATTACTAATGTTCTAGGTAAATTATTATTTATTATTGTCCTATGAGCTCTAGAAAAATAAACTCCACGATGGCACATTTTACAAGAGCTAAAAAAAGAAACAGTTTGTGGAGGGGATTATACAGCCTTATATACAGCATATACCTAAAAAGGCAATTTTTTTTTTTTAATTCTTCTAAAAGGCAGACTCAGTCTTTCTGCTCTGATTCAGATGAAGATAAAACCTTAGTGATTAGCACCTTAGGTAAAACTTTGTAGTAGCAAGACAAAAATAGCAGTATTTTCAAAGCTTCACTATTAAATAGTTTACAGTTTTACTAAAGGAGGTGCTTCCATCCCAAAACTCTGTTCTATAGCCTGTAGGAAATGTCACATTCTGCTTGTAATCATGAGGGAAAAAAAGCTAATATTGGATTTGGTTTTTGTCAAGAGCAGCAGCAGCTAGACATTGATAACAGTACACAAGCCACAGTTTTTCAGTTCCTCGTGTGCTCATGCAATTTAATGGGGATGTAATTTCAGAAAGCAAAATAATTCTGTATAAAAATTATTTCTTATTTTTGAGATGGGACCAATAAATTTGGTTATTATAGCCATTAAGCAAAAAATCACTTGTGCCTCACTGAACAGAAGGACTATTATGAGAAGCAGCAAGCTAGTTTAAAACACAAAGCTATTCTTTTCCTTCCTCTTAGTATAAATATTGAACAACTAACAAAACATAAGCACTTTTTCTTGGTATGTACTGCTAAATATGACTGTTGGACAAGTGGTAAGCAACAGGTACTGTAATGTGTAGCTTTGCATCTTGGAAAATAAACCCTTTTTTGCAGCTAATTCTGTTCACTCCTAAGACAAACATACAGCATGGTATTCACTGTACACACCAGTTTTATATACAGAACAAAATGAAGTTTAGTACCTTTGAATTAACAAACAGGTTAAAAAAAATCCATAATGCAACCCACCTGACAGATTTAAGCAGGGCAGGAGTGATGTAAAATTAAACTGCAAATCAGCGGCTCCAGCTCTTTCTTTTGCTGGTAGTGACTTGTCCTTATTTCTCCCACAATCCCATTTCCCCTATTATCTTTACCCCTTACAGGTGTATAAAAAGAAAGCAGCTGGGAAGCTTGGAGATATCAATCTCAAGATGACTGAGCAGGAGAAGGAATTTGCTGGGAAGACAGCTCGGTATGAGCAGGAAATGAAGCACCTCCGGCATCTGCTGCAAGACAAGCAGGAAACCCTGGAGGAAGTGCTGGAGCAGAAGAGGTGAGTGAGGCACGGGGGGAACTGCTGTTCTTAAGACTTCTTAAGAGGAGTATCAACCTGAGCCTAATCTTTGATGATTTGAGGGGGTTCTCTAAATCAAGATATGTGTTAGTTTATTTAATAGCATCTTCTGCTAAAGGCTGAACGCTTGCCCATCCCCACTCCTCACCAGTTTTCAGAACAGTAGGAAATGAAAGGAATCTCGTGATTACACATAAGATTTTTGTTTCCTTTTGCATCTGTCTTGCTGAGTAATCCTCAGAGTCATCATTCTCACATACCTTCCCTTAAATAAGCTACGCTGCATGTTTGAGATATAAAAGCTGATGGTGCAGTCCTAGAGTAAAAAAACAGGGTCATAAATACTTCCAGTCTTATTTCACAGGACACTTACTATTATGAGTTTACTAGGTCAGAGTTTATTGCCTAAGTCTTCTGCAGAGAAACTGTCCTTGGAGATAGTTACAGCTGCTGTGCTTTGGCTGGAAAACGCAGGTGTGAAAGTGCCATAGACTGTCCTCAGGAGAGGGTCAGCAGCAAAAAACCTCTGCAGCTGTGCACAGGCAAGGGAGAGGAGCTGTCTTACCTGGGGGGTGACATATAAAATTGTAACCATGATAAAAATTGTTGATCTTTGTTATAAGGAATATTTAAATAAACTCTCACAGGAGAGATGAAAACTAATTCTTGAGTCGGCAGCCCAAATATAAGATTAAGGCTGAATTAATTTAGTTCAGTAAGGGCAGAAAGCTCTATCTTTTGTAAAGAAGAATCTTCTTTCAGAACCTGCTTCTGTTAACTTTTTCATCCTCAAACATCAATCAGTACAGCATTGGCATTTTGTTTACTCTCAACAAGGTATAGAGCCTTACATTTTGGCTAGGTTGGAGTTGAATGGAATTTTTGCTTTTATGTATTTAAGTAATAACAGCCTGCATTAATAACAAACAAACTTAATGCTTTTTGCCTGAAGACATCTGGAAACAGCACATGTATCTAAACTGAGCATGTATCTAGTTTTAAATGCCAAGTGGCGAAGACTTGTGTTTGAAGAGGTGAACTGGCTGTAGGGGAAGGGAAATATTAGTGTCAGGAAAAAAGCCCAGATCATCAGCAGCTGTAGTAACCAAACTGCTCTGTAATCCAAGTTTGTAAGGGAAGGGAGGCTGTGACTAATAAGAATGAAAACACCCCCTCCCCAGCCCATTCTGCTGGATGTATTTTTAGGTTTTGGTGGGGTCAGAATTTTCGAACAAACACCATGCAGAGACAAAACCTGCACTTGGGATGCAGCTGCTTCTCCTCAGCTCACCTGAAAAGCAGCTGAACTATGAAGCAGGACATTGAGCCACACTGAGAAGCCTCACCTGTGACTGTGGAGTGCTGTGTGTGCTTCCTGGACAACAATATGCTGTGACTGCTCACTCCAGAGCAAAGTCAGTGAGTGCTCTCTGGCTCTGCATCTCTCAGATCTGTTTAAAAACTAATCCTCCAAGAAGAGTTCAGATACACCACTATCTCTAAAGGCATCTGTTTTCCTTGCTATTCAAGTAATTGGAACCATGTGGACACTTTTAAAACCAGTTTTTTTGAACTAATCTTTTTTCTAAAATCACTTGCACTGAGGATGAGCACCCTGTAGGTCAGGCATGCTGACAGCATTAAACTACAATTCAGAACTTGCTGATCTTTAGTTTCATCATCTTAAAAAAAGTCCTGGTTTTAGAAATTAGAGGATGAACTAAAGCTTGGGTAGTGTTCTGCACTACCGTAACAGTAAACCAGATTAAACTCTTGTGTATTAATTGTTGACCATGAGGGTGCTGTGCACGGTGCCTGCAGACTCCAGTTGGAGACCAGGGGCAACAGGGAACAGGAGATTGACCTATCAAGATATAAAAGTTCATTTGAAAACAAAATGCTGAAAACATTCCAAAATCACAATACAGAGGGCCAGGGTCAACCAGTGGGTGACACTGAGGCCTGCTAGTTGGGGGAGTAAATTCAGTCTTTGTGCCTCACATCTTCCCCAGATGTAGGCTGAGGAGAATGATAATTGCCTTTGTAAAGCATTTTGAAGCATATTCCAAGCACTGGTAAATATTAGACACTCTCATCCTATCTCAAGGAGAAATATACTTCGTGAGAGCAAAGTCATCTACAGTTTTGGTGTTTTAAAAATGAGAGATTGCTTCTCAATAGCTTTTTAGCAACTTGGCAGAAATGGAAAGGTCCAACTAATTAACTGTGGCCTCTCACATTCTTGGGCAGAGTCTTAGACTGCTTTTAGCACCTGTACTGCTTTCACCTGCTGCCTTTTGCTTTAATTCCATTTTCAATGGTTACTGATCTCCTCCACCACCAAAAGTTCATTCCAAGCAATATATGCAAGAATAACCTAAAGCCCTTCTCTACGAGGTTTTTTTTCTTCTTCCATCTGTATATCACGTCATAAGGTGAAACACAAAGTGGGCAGGGACTATGGCTGGGCCACTTTTCACCACTTCATTCTCAGGGTGATCAATCACAAAGGACTCTCAACACATTTATGTTGTGCATTGATTTGTTTCTCATTTTTAGAGCCTGGTATTGGGGAGGATTCGTGTAGAAGGGTAGCTCTGTCCAGTGCTTCAGGTAGTGCCCTGCAGGGGCTGTATTAGTCTGTACAGCATTCAAATCTGTGTGCTCATTTTCCATGCAACAGCTTTGCTTTCCACCTCAATTATCTTGATATCCTTATTTTTTTGTACTTTGATACAGACTAAAAATGAGTCAGAGGAAACCCAAGAGCTTAACCTTGATCTAAAAAGCTTACTAAAATAAAAAGCCTGTGCTGGAATACACTGTATTATTAAATCAAGTTGGCTTCCATGCTTAAAAAAATAACCTATTCTTGAGAAAGATGCTAAACAATTCATTCATTTATGCTTGGGCATCAGAGAAATGAATCTGTGAGGCTGTAATGCCTTAAGGACTGTCCTCTAGCTTTGTCTCCCCTCCTAGTTTACACCACCTTTGTTTGGCTGCCACAAAGAGGCATTAGCTGAGACTTGATCCAACTTGTTACATGGGTCCAAGTGTTTCTTTTCTGGTCATATCCTTGCTAGCATTACATTTAGTGGGCTTTTTCAAAAGCAAAACAGGCATGAATATTAATCAGATAATTTCAAGCACTTAAATACAGGCCATTTCTAATTTGTTTATCCACATACTGTAATTCTCTTCCGCTGAAACGTTGTTAAAATTAGGATTTCTCTTCGTTTTTTTCCCCTAGGAAAACGGAAGGGGAACTTGAAATCATTTGGGAAGCCACAACCAAAGAAAACAGGAGAATGAGAGAACTCTTACATAAATCCCTGAGGAAGAACACCACGTGGAATGCTGGCACAGCTCATGAGCCACACTTTGATGAAAGCTCTCAGAAGGACCTAGTTTACAGACATGATTTTAGCTATTGTGATGTGAAGACTTCATCCCCTACTAAAAATGAATTTCAAGAAGAGTCTCAGTGATAAGAATCTGCATCTCATCAGAAAAAGAGAACTCAGTGCCTGAATTTGACTTTCTCAGCAACACAAGATATGATGGAACATTTCCCCCTTCAAAATGACTGGATTTTTAAGGTCATAACAATGACAACAGCATATTCTCCAGCTGTGCCATCAATAGGGTAAATCCAGCCTGAAATATTACTTTAATACTTGAAGAAAAGGCTATTCCTTGTTAAGACAAAATGTGGTACAGCTTTAAGTTAACATGAAAAGACAAGTAACCAGTTAACAGGATAAAATCTGACTGTGGAGCAGCCAGGACTGAAGCATCCTCCTGATAACTGGTGATACCTGAATGCACAACTGTCCACTCCACAGGTTTACAGGAGCCTGAATGCACAACTGTCCACTGCACAGGTTTACAGGAGCCTGAATGCACAACTGTCCACTCCACAGGTTTACAGGAGCCTGAATGCACAACTGTCCACTCCACAGGTTTACAGGAGCCCAGGTGTTGGGAAGCTCCTGCTGGAGTTTTGCCAAGGGGATGAGTTGCCAACACAGGGTGCAGTTCTCCAGATTGTCTTGTTCATTCTGCTTCAAAAGCCACCTTTCTTCCAGAGCATTCTCTGCAGCAGTGACAGCCTTTAGATTATTGATGCCTATTTGTCTGAGCTTTCATAATTGCTGATTTTTCACAGTTTTGCACATCAGCTTTGTAGTACTATCTGTTAGTATGAAATAACTTGATTTTGGATTTACTTATAACTTGCTGGATCAGCTTTTTGCTTTTCCTTCATTTTCATGACAAAACCTAAATGGTACCAGGAAACTGTAGCAGTACAAAAAACCTATAACTCTCATAGTTGTGTAATATTAAAAATAATGAAGAATTTCATTGGCTTTGACCAAAGTTAAGGAAAAGAGCAGAAAACCAAGTTAAATACCAAAAGGAACACACTGTTTGTGTCCAGAAAGGTTCCTGTGGTATTTTCCTTCAGGGTAAGGCCATGACTCAGCAGAACAGCATTATTCAGGTCAGGGTGGAGAGAGCACCTTCTCTCATATCATCTCTCATATCTCTCACACCTCGATGGGATGGGTGGATGTAGGGCTTTTAAAGCCCTGTTTCTTTGACAGGAATAAAACAAGTGCAACAACCTTACTGGCTCATCAAGAGAGCACTGCAGCATCCAAGGTCACTCAGGCACTATCACCACAATCTCACAGCACCACTATCTCAAGGTCTCCATGCAGACTTAACAAGAACTCCACCTTCAAATCCTTTCATTCCCCTGGCTTTTTCAACTTGATTGTTTTAGGACTCTCTGCCTCAAAATAGCACCCAGAAACTATTTTTAAACATGGCCTAAATCCCTTTGTTAATATGTGAAGTTGTCAGGGGAATGGTCTGTTGCTAAACCAGTTCTGTCTCCTGTCTTCCCTGAATTTTTTCAAAACTGATTTGAAATGTCAGGTGTGAAATACCTCTTCAGACAAGTCAGACACAGGCAACACAAACACGGGCAATACACTCCCCTGCTTTCCACACAAGCTCCAATCTGCAGGTGTCCTTACAGGGACCCTGAAAGAGCATCCAGCATGGCTCTACCCACAGTTTGTCATGTTTTTGAAGGCAGATTTTGAAAATGAAGCTTCTCATACCATGTTTTTTAATATAAGCATCTCTGAGTATGAAAATACAAATTCTGAACTGCACATGTAAATTATTTACACATTCTCATGGTTTTAATTGCCCTTTTGAATATGTCTCAAGAGTTTGTAAAAATAAGCAGCTTCATGAGGAAAAACTATCATACTGGTAATTCCTCAGAACTAGAAGCAAGACTTTCAAAACCCGTTCAAGTGTGAACCTGTTGGAATTCTGCTTGGTTGCTACACAGTTATTGAAGAGAACTCTACCTTAAACCCCCAGAACATAATGACATTTTTAAATCATAGCTTTGCCTTGTTTCATAAATTTAGATGCTACAATAACGAAATTATGTGACTGTTTTATTCTACTACAAAAACTCTACCCCTGCCAGGTTATCATTTTCTGTTACTCACCCAACATCAGCAACTTGCTGTTTTCCCTTGACTACACATGACAGAGTATCCTGATTCCCATATGTTCCACCTGCCTTTCAGTTACAGCATCTTCCAGTCTGTAAACTGAGCCCATGAAATAGTTCCAGCTTCTTTTCACAAGGCAACATAAAAGCATGCAGCGTTCTTCCATTCCTACCAAGAAACTGAGAAAACAGTTCAGGATTTCTGGATGTCATGTTGGGGTTTTGTTGCTGAATAGACAGATAACTGACCATAATTTTCCCTAGAAAAACATTTGGATTAAATAATGTGATTATATATTAAAAAAACAAGCATTGCTACCACCTTTCCAAAAGCAAAACCACAGGAGAGTCTGCAGTGAAGCTCAGTACTTCCAGTCCATTTGCCAACTCCTGCTAAAATATATCAGCATTACTTCTTACTTCACTGGCAGAGCAGAGCATCTCATTTTCTGTGCTTCAGTTGTTGTGTAAATATGAGGGAGAGTCAGATACTCAGCAGTCAAATGTGTGTTCCAATGTCCTGTGAACTGGCAGGGAATTGGGCCATCCTTACCTTATCATTTCCAGTTTCCAGATAACTTCCCCCTGCCCATTAACAAGTCATTTAAACCCAGCTGTTTTCTTTTTCCCTACCTCTTTAATTTCAAGCCAGAAAGGTGCTGTTATCTTCCAGGCCAGAAAATTCCGTTTCAGCAGCTCAGAAGAGAGAACCTCCTGAGACTTCTTCACCGTGAGAAATTCCTCCTGGCACATTATATTACATCAGGAGTTCTAAGGGCTTTTCTCCTGGGACTACAAATCCTTGGTTGGCCAGGCCTAACTCTTCCATTTTAGGAGAGCTCTAAGTACTCATCCTACTCCACAAATTTAATGTAAATCGGTATGATAAAAATTCCACAGTGTTAACCTGCTTGAATCTAGAAAAGCAGATGCATTTTGAAGGCTTCTTTACCTTTAAAAATATGGTTTCTCAGCGAGTGAGCTCTCCAGATTTTTTTTTTAGCCCTGAATGTTTTTTTTCCTGTACTAGATTTATTTCACCATACCTATATAAGCACATGTTCAGATATATAACAGAGAGAGAGAGATATTTTAGCAATTAAAATTGTTTTATACCTCAAATGTCTGGATTTGGTAAAAATAAAATGAAGCTTCAAAAGTAGCACAGAACATCACAACCTCCACGGAGTGCTTGAGTATTCACTGCTTCCTTCCTCAGCTGGAGGTGGGCAGATGCTCTTCCAAAGCCAGTGTGATCTGGAAATCCCTCCTTAGTTAAAGGCTAGTGGAATGCAACCTGAGTTTTGGACTCAAAAAGGAGATCAAAGCCAGGACTGGTTCTTCAAAGGGAAAAAGGTGAGGAGCTGGCTGTGCATGAGAGGAATCGCTGACTCTGATCAGGCTTTGAAACACTGGGGAAAACTGAAATCTTTGAAGAAAACCAGCGTGACATACTCAAGCTAATTTTCTTCAGAGGCCATTAAAATTCCTTCAGAACGTCCTTAAGAAGAGACTCCTTGATTTTTTGTGACCTTTTGGATAGAAAACCATACCCAGCCTTTAGAAGTTTATCAAGAGTCTCTGAACAGCTGTGCTTAAAAAATACATGAGACAAACAAAAAATCTGTCTTTAGACTAAAGACTGTGCAGGTCTAGTACAAAACCTTTAGCAAACCTGAAAAGCTTTTCAAAAGCTTATTTGTCACAGAGACAAAAGCAACTGCACTGTAACCAAAAACTGAGTAGGGAAAAAATAAGGGTATTTAGATCCCATCTGCTCTGTGAGCATTAGGAACTACAGTCATCTAATATTTTCTGTTGACTCCCACAAGATGCAAAAATCTTGCAAGCCAGTGGCATCACCACAGCTATTAAAAAAGACTGTTTTCTTAAATTCCACTTGCAGCATTCCTGCAATTACTCAGAAAAAAAAAAATGCTTTTAAGGATGACAGGAGTGAGATCACATCTCAGGGCACATCTGTGAACGGTGGGATTCAAAGAAGAGCAAATGCAAGGGAACAGCCTGGTGCTCTGATGAAGTAACCTGTGAGCAGCAAGGTTAGAATGGAAAGTATCCCCTCTGAGATACTGCTAAGCTACAATTAAAAGCTGCTGGTTAGGATGATCCTCATTTGCTTTAGTATTGGTCAAAGCAGAATGTGCTTTAAAGCAATAAAATACCAACCCTGACAAATATTAACCTTTATTATTAGTGGCTAGTGATAATAAAAGGTGTATTTATACACTGTGGCGTTGCCATTTCCCGAATTAAAGTTGAAAATTACTTTTTACGATTTAATTGGTAAATAGCATTTAAAAGGTTCAAACTGCAGTGTTTAAATAGGAACAGCCTGCACAGTGTTTGCCCCTCTAGTCCCTTGGAGTTTGAACTCCTTATCACTTCATCTGTGTGAGATCCTTATCTCTTCGTCCCTATTTGAGAGGGAAGGAATCTTTTCCCACGGCTGTAAAATGCCATTTCTCTTGTCCCTGAAGAAAATAACATTGGAATCCTTGAAATCAATGTTTATTTTTTCCTTCAGTGGCTGAGGAAAAGAAGGATTGCTGGTAGAATTGCAACTCCTTTCATAAGTTTACCAAGGCATTCCAAAAAGATTAACCCTTAAAACAAAATTAGACCATAAATGAAGATGCTTTCCTATTTTATAGGGAAACACAGACTAGTTAAGGTCACCTCTTGAACAGGTGGGAACTCTCCAGATCCACATTCCAGGTTAACTAAAGAAGCCAACTGCTTAGGCAAAAACTCAAACACCATATTTTCAATGCTACCCCTATTGTCTCTGAAGATACAAAGTGGAATAAAGATCTGATGCAGAAAGAAAAGGCAAGCAAAACATCTGCACAAAAAACCCAAAGATCGTTACACAAAAAAAAAATCCTAAGCAAAACTTCACTTAACACAGCATTAAAGATGACATATTCCATTATCTTTTCATCAAAATTACGTATGTGTTTTTTCCTCTTTTTGTTGGTCTGGAAATTCCAGGGTAGAGTTAATGTGATGCTTCATTTTGAGGTCAAAGTCAGCCCCAGAATATGACCCCCCCCTTCTTTTTTGACATTAACTATTTCAATAGTCTCTGTGTGGCATTTCAGGAATGATAAAAATATTATAAATCTTCATTTCAAAATTATCAGCTGTAGAGAACACAGAAGTACATGACATAATATCCAACCCCAAACGAGGGAGCTGAAGTCGAGGGATATGAAAACATTATCTTATTTAACCCTATGTCAGAATTGCAATGAAAAATATTGTCAAAGACCTTGTAAAAGATGCAAAAAAAGAAATAAATACCTGCCTTTTCATATGCTTGTAGTAAGACTATAATTTTAACATGTTTTATTATCTTTATCTGCAGGGGGAAAAAAGAACTTTTATCTGACCATTTTTCGTGTGGTAATTTTTCAACAAGAAGTTATTTAAGATGGAAGAGCTTCTCTTGTAGCTTAACCCTATTCTTGTGAGAATTAAACAAAAAAAAAACCCCAAAGACAAGAAAAAGACAGTGACTAAAAAATACACCTCTGGGGGTTTTTTCAGTCCTGGCTTTACTTTGCAACCTCAGCCTTGGAGAAAGACATTCCCAGTGCAGTCTGACTCAACCACCCCAAAACACAGCAAACATAAACAAGCGTTTCACTTGTTCTCAGAGTCCATTTTCAGTCACAGATTTACATCATCACTGCAGAGGGAATTCCCGGTGATCGAGCCTGTGTGCTTAAACAGGCTAAAAAAAAAAAAATGTGAGCAAAACAACTGTCAAACCGTGCTCGGGATGGTTTTGTTTGGTCTTATTTCCAGCCCTGTACTACCTGTTCAGGAGGCATTGTGTTAACAAGTGTTAACATCAGCGATCAATACCACAATAACTCTTAGCTTTTAACAGCTGATGTTAATTGAAAAAAGTCAGCTGCGGTTCGAGGGGGTGGATCAGGACTTAGTGATTTGAATGTCATACAGCGAAGGAGCTGTCTGTACAACTACATTGCTGAAAACAAATGATTAACACAATTAAGGGGTTGCTTTGCAAATATTTTAGGGATGTTACCTAATTCCAGAATGCAGGATAACAGCACTTTTTTTCCTGGATATACAACTGTATAGAAATAGAGAATGGCATTTTTCATTAAAGCAAGGTTTTAAAATATTTACAAAAATGGAAAATAATTGTAACTGCAAGCAAAGGGAACACGAAGTGCCCACTCAGCTGCCTCAGGTTAATGAAAAACATTTCTGCTCACACTTCTCTACTGTCTCGAGATAAAAACGTCAACTATTTTTATAGGATGCAACTAACATCTGGACATGTGGTTTTAATACACCCATAAAAGGACAATTACTTCAAGATTGCCTTTCCAAAGCATTTCTAAACTAGCAACTGCTTGGTATAAGGATTATCAAAATAGACCCTCCAAATGATGGTTCACTCTCACTCTGTGACACACCAGGCACTGGATAAACATTCTCACAAACGGAACAAAGATGGTTTTTCTTTTTTTTTAAAGATAAACTAATTGGGCTGTGGGTTTACCTGGGGTTCCTATCTCAAAGCTTTTTGGCCGAGAATGGGTTTAATGATTGTCTTTTATAACCTTTGTACTTAATCTGCTGCTGCTTCTGCAGATTCTGGTTTCAGACTCGGACGTGCCTTGCTGTGTAACTGCCTGGGAAATCTGATGGGAGAAACATCCTAAGACAAAGATTCCTGGACCCGAGTAACACCAAACAAATATAAATAAATAAGGTAAGCAAACCCAAGAGTTGCTAAAGGTGATCATTGAAACATGACTTTAAAGAGACAATTTGGGCACAAAGCTGTAAAGAAGTTCAGTGACCCGAGCCCTGCATTCCTCATGTGGGCAATTTTCTATCATAGGTTTACTCTTAGATTTATTATTATCTTTTTTTTTAAATCTTTGATTCAAAACATAAACTCATTGTCTTTATAGCCCAAATTTTTCTGAGGGCCAACAATAATGAGATAGGTGTTCTGTCAATTTAAAATGCTACAGTTCTTGTAGCCAATTACTACTCTATTTCCAAAAACACTCCAGCTTAAGTTGCCTAATTTTTTCTGAATTACTGTCTGTATAACTGCTAAATGATCTTCAAAATTCAGATTCTAGTAAATATAGTTGTAATGTCTTAGGAGAGAAGAGACTTTTGACTGAATCCACTTTGGAGACTCAGGACCTGACCTGATGCATTTCCCTCACTATCTCAGGTTGTATTTTAGACAAATACAAGGACAAACAAGCAAAATCCTCAGCAGAAAAAAGAATCACAAATTTAAATTTGAAAACATTAGTTCTAACAAACATTACACTCTAATTCTATACAGGACAAATTCTAATTCTAATTCTCTACAGGACAAAACACTAAGTGCAAAAAGCTGCTAATTAGACAATTACAGCAGCCCAGACTTGGTTTAGCAGATCCTTGCACCTCCAAGGAACCGAGACAAGGCCTAATTTAATGAAGATCAGAAAGAAGGTCTCCTAGATAAGAAGCAGACCAGCTTCTGGGAGAAAGATAAAATCTGACTGGACCGCTGGAGGAGTCCTTCCAAGGAAGGACTGGCTATAAAAGCAAGATCATTCCAGTGAGGATCATTCCTGGAAACTGGATGTAACCTGACACAGACATTCCCTACCAGGTGAGTATGAGGAAAATCCTCACTGGATTCCATTGTTGGATGGAAGTCCTTTTGCCTCTGAGTGTGTGGGGTTTTTTTTAATTTTCCGGCAATATTTTACCTCCAGTATTTTGGACACACATGTATCAGCAAAACTCAAGCAAACAGTGTGCTAGAGCTGAGAATTTTGGTTTTATTTCCTTAGAGATTTCAACAAGAAAAACCAAATGGGTGAAGAAGGCTTGAGGAAAAGAAAAGGAGAGGACAAAGGAAGAGGGGACAAACAATCCATTCAGAGTCATGAACCCCAAACCACGAACCTACAAAAACAGGCAAAACTTTTTCTTTTCCCTCTTTGGTCCGTGTGTGAGGGGCTGGCAGAGGGAGGCAGAAGTGGGTATTTGTGCACAAAAACCACAACTATGTCCCAGTTTAGCAATGATGTGCTAATATCTCAACTGGTTGGTTTACATTTCCAGAAACTGCTAATTACAGTCGTTAAAAAGCTGTGATATAAACCAATAGAAAACTAACAATATGTTTTTAAGTCTCTGAAGTTTTCAGATAGAATAACAATTCGAAGTTGGTCAACTGAGGCACTTCATAAACTTTTCTTTTTTATTTTTTTCCCCCCGTGTAGTTCTCAGGGGTTGCAGTGGGTTGTTCAGCTCATTGTTTCTGAACGTTTCTTGGTGTATACTAAGAAACATTCAGAAATAGGCACTGGTACTCAAAGACAAGTGAAAATCTGTCTCTTCCAAAAAATTAGAGATGCTTTAGACAACAGTTGTGTCACTTGCTCTCAGGAGGGGGTGGAATTCCTCATTAAATTTAAGTCATGCGCAAAAAGAGTCTTTATGTGGTTTTAGTTTGGTGCCAAGACTGGAAAAATACTGATGTTATTAGAGTAGCCATAATATCAGGAAAAAATAAGTAGCCTGTGGCACTTATTTTAGCAGAACATGCCTCAGGTTTCAGTGGTTTCATGTAACATGAAACAAAATCAGAACATGGTCTTATCACCACCTATCAGTATGGAGATAATTCCTGTGCACAAATACCTAAAGCAAGGAGAGGAGAACAACTGCTGAATGACAAAAAAGGGACTCCATCCATAAAAGACAATTTCTGAAGCTTAGAAAATTCAGAATTCATGAAGTGCTCATAAAAGAATTTCAGTGTTTATTCAGAGAGGAAAGGGGAAGTTCACCTGTACAAGGTTTGATTTGAGACTCATATAATGCAAAAGACAGTTTAATAAAGGAAATACACAGGCAGGCAAAATACAAAGAGGTGTTCTTTTGAAAACAGCAGGGGTAGGCCACATGGGCATCTTGGAAAGAGGAGTGAAACTTCACAAAATAGTTTAATAAATTTCTTTCTAGAACTTACATGTTAAAAACTGATAAAAATAAGTCAGTAATGACAATTACTGTAGTTCTCTGCTACTGAACTAGAAATGACTTACAGAAAATGTCTCATTTCATTTCCAGGTGGGCCTCATCAGTGGGATCTGTATGATTGTTGGGACAATTATCGGGTCAGGTATCTTTGTTTCTCCCAAATCAGTACTTGCCAATGTTGAAGCTGTGGGTCCTTGTTTGACCGTCTGGGCAGCCTGTGGAGTTCTGGCAACATTAGGTAAAGGAGTCAACAAAGAATCTGAATCTTTGCCTAAATCTTTATGTCTACTGCTTCTGCAGACTACTGTCATTTCACAAATTAGCTAAAATCAATGAAATACTGATGTGTATATGCATAGCAGCACTGGGCCATAAATTTAAAATGTGCTGTTTATAAAAGATAAATTAAGTTTTTAAAATTGCAAACTGCACTCTCAATTTATTTTGAAATCAACTTTTAGTTTTGCTGGCTTCATCCACTGACTGTAATAAAGAGAATACTCTTCTACTTAAATCACTGTCAAAATGTGACATTTCCTGGCAGTCAGCTGGGTGCTTCTGCTGCTTTTCTACCTGTGTAATTCTAATTCTATTATCTGGAAATTTAGCACTGAGGCACCTCCAAATATTTCAAGAAGTAAAACATTGAGCAGTGTATCAGGGGACACAGCATAGAAAAAACCTTAATGCAGGATGCCAGATACAGCAATAGATTTGGAAGTGTCCCTGTACTTTAATGATGAGCTTAGCAGATGTGTTGCTTCAAAACTGTGCAGCAAGTCTGTTTTTTTCAGGTTTCCAAAAGGAATGTCAGCAAGTGCTGTTCTCACTTAAATGCTTCTTGCAGTGTTGGTTTCTTAAACAGATATCTAATATGAAATGAGAATGTCTGTGCTGGTTTTGGCCAAGTCTTAAACACCAGTAGTAGGAATTTTTGGACTGTATCTTATTAATTTCAGGGTATTTTTTCCAATTGCTCACAAGTAATTAAAATTTGATTTTTGCACATACAGTAAAATATACAGAAACATGAAGAGGGTAATGATGCACTGTAGATATCAATTTCCTTAACTTTTCTAGCTGTTAAGAAATGATCATCTGATCTAGCCAGTCACAGGTTAAAAAGGGCATGACCTCAACCTGCTCTTCTCCTTGCTCAGGTGCACTTTGCTATGCGGAGCTCGGAACGATGATCACAAAATCTGGAGGGGAATATCCTTACCTTATGGAGGCATTTGGCCCCATTCCAGCATTCCTGTTTTCCTGG